CGCATCAGGGCGGGCAGCAGGGCGACGGCCAGCAGGGCTGCGCGCAGCAGGGCGGGCAGCAGTAGGGCGCAGGGCGGGCAGCAGTACGGCGGAGCGCGGGCTGCAAAGGCTGGCGCGGTGGGCTGCAAAAGGGCGGCGCGCGGGCTGAAAAAGGCGAGGCGGCGGCCAGCAGGGCGGCGCGCGGTCAAGGCAGGGCGGGCAGCAGCCAGGCGGCTCGCGGGTAGGGCAGAGGGCGGCGCGCGGGCTGCAACTGGCGGCGCGCGGGCTGCAAAGGGCGTCGCGACGGACTGCAAAAGGCGGCGCGCGGGCTGCTAAGGGCGGTTCAGCGGCTAGCAGGGTGGCGCGACAGGCAGGGCAAGGCGGCAGGGCAGGGCGACTAGTGGGGTAGCGCTCTGTGGTGGGCCCTAAAAAAAAATCGGTCCTAGGACAGGACCTGCTATGAAACCATGTCAGAATGTTGAACGATAATGAATGAACTATGAAAGAGTTGGGTACAATTACTAACCCTAATTGGGTTGTACCCCTTATGGGCTACACAATGTAAGCACAATGACATTTTGACAGATTTCGCTGTAATAAGGGAATGTACCCCTTAGAGTACATGGCTAGCTAGGTCGATTCGTATTCCTTCCTGTACTCTTATTTATACCTTTGTACTTGCATGTTTCAATCATCTCAAGCATTTTACATCCACTCTGCTATTGAGGTCAAGGGCCCACCACCACTACTCAGTCGTGTGCGAACCTTCCTGAGGTGATCCTAGGGGCGATCAACTTCTGATCGCAGCACAGTCATCACTGTCGAAGTTGATCTGACTGTCAATGGTGTTGCTGATCCAGCCGTTGACGCGCTGCTTAAGCTTGCTGTGGGGAATGGCATCGGAAGTAAAGACACATCTTCATCGTCGGTCATCAATGGTGCTGCTGGAAGCTCTGGCTTGTCCGACAAAGAAAAGGCGGATACGGCAACTCACGGCCAGGAGCCTGACGAGGATGGTTTCATTGACGATGACTCGGATGGTGAAATGGAGCTGGATCTAGAGAAAGAATCAACGATCAGGCTGCGCACCACTATCATCCTCTTACTTCCCATGAAGATTGCTGGTGAAATCGCTTCCGTTATTGATGCTGTTACCATGCTGATAAAACGCGGATGGAGTGCAGATCTATCCGTTGAAGCGAAAACCACAACGAAGTTCCAAGGTCAGCTACCTGCTTACGTCGCGAAGGTCCGCTATGGTCGCGTGATGGTCTCCTTTACCTGGGAGGAAGATGCGGAAAAGGTGAAGCGCAAGGAGGTGGTTTATCAGAGTCTGAGCCTGAAAGGGGAGCTGGTACCTCTCTACTGGCAGCACACTGAGAACTCGGCCTGCAAGAAGGAGAAGGCGCTTCACCCGCATGCGATTGAAGAGACCATCCGCGGTGTTTCGGCGGAGGTTGAGCTGAAGATGATCATGGACAGGCTCATGGTCTACCCCATGTCAAACCGCAAGCGTCCGGCTTACCAGAAGTGTTCCAGCCTGCATCGTATTCTCCATCCGGTGACTGGAGCGGATACCGACGTTGTTAAGACGCTCGTCTACGTCTTCCCAGGAGACAAGCGCCGTTGGCTTCATGCCATCCCAGACCCGGCTGATCGTGCGAAGTCCCTTCTGCTCCACTATCCTGCATTACCATGTTCGCTTTGCGGGGGACAGCATTATGATAAGTTTCATAATGCTTTCACCGTAGAGCTTCAGAACAATGTAGGAAATCGGTCACTGACGGTGGGAAATGCCCACAGGCTGAACGGTAAAACCTCTGCATCTTCTCAAGCTCACCACTTACCATCCTCTCCATGTACTAACCTTTTGCTTGGTTCTCGCAGTGGCATCCCTGAAAGCCACTCCGCTAGTCCTCCCCCTCTTGCGCGACCCTGCTTTGGCCGTTATCTCCACCGGAAGCAACAGGGAGGAGTGGCTGTGCACTCAGGCGGGATGTATGAAAGCGCACGGAAAGAGTTTCATGACAAGGATCATGTCGAGTCTGCTGCTCACCTCATCAACCTGGAGAAGCTCGACACTGCCACTAGGGCCTCCCTCGACAAGATCGGCCTTGCTACCATGAAGAAGGAGTTCGGGATCTGAACACGAGAATACTCACAGCGGCAGGAGTTTGAGTGGTAGTCAGTATAGCCAGTTCCTTTGTCTTTCTCAGCTTGTGGATGCGTAGAGGCTGCCAGTCAGTGATTAAATGAGTAGCAAAAAAAACCTCCTCACCTGCGCGAGCCTTAATGTCAACGGCCTTGGAGATATAGGGAAACAAAGAAAGCTCACTCGTTGGCTTAAGGACGCGGGAGACATTGTAGCATTTGCAGACACTAGAATACCTCCATCACACACCTTCTGGTCTTCACCTAGTTTTACCACGGTAGCAGTAGCTCCTCGTAAGGCGAAGGCCAGCGGAGTTGCAATCCTCTGCAAGAATCCGTCGCTTAGCTTCACAGACATCAAAGTCCACCAATCAGGACGTATCATACACACGGTAGTTAATGGTCAAGACATTCAAGTCATGCTGCTCGCGGTTTACTTCCCATCGAGTCCTTCCGCCAGGTCACCTTTCATGCTCCACACCCTAGGTCCGGTAGTAGATCAGGTACCGCCGACTTCCCACCTGCTTATCATAGGGGACATCATAGAGGATCCAGCTTTATATAAGATGTCAGGGAAAGGTTCATCTGCTGAGAATGACCGACTTATCAACCACTGTAGCAAGTTCCAGGTATCCGACGCCTTCCGTACCTTATACCCAGGATGTCACGAGTACACCTTCTATGCAGCCTCCGCACGAGCGAGTTCCACGATAGATCGAGCGCTAGTGTCAATGTCCCTCCTGCCGTTCCTCTTTGACGTAGTTCATATTTCGCCGATGGAGAGAATCTCAGACCATGGTTTCGCGATCCAGGTAGCGCTGAAGGTTGACGACAAAGCCAAGATGGGTCCTGGTATGTGGAGGCTGCAGGCATCAATGTCACAGCGGCCAGGAGTTAGACGCATTATAGAGGAGACGTTGCAAAACATCCAAGTGTCGGACTGAAGAACCTTGGAACTGCTCACCTCGAGACTCAGCGTAAGGTTAAGAGCATACACAAGGCACGAGAGGAAGAGGGTGCGTGTGACCTTTACGCACCTGGTGTCGGCGGTCGCAGCATTAAGGCAGGAGGTGTTGGGTAACCCGAGCTACACCTGGCGGAAAGCGCTTCTGGATGAAAAGGAGGCGATGGTGAAGGAGTACATGGCATGGCAGCAGGACAGGCTTCATCTCATGGCAGGATTGGACTGGGAACTCACAGGGGAAATATCGTCGAAGCAGTTGTCGGCGCTGGTCAAGGCGGGGAAGAACAGAACCCGAATAACAGAAGTTAAGGTGGCTGGAATGGTGGTGTCGGACTCACAAAAGGTCCTGGCAGCAACATCGGACCTTTTCCGTGACATTTTGGACGAGACAGGCGGTTGGATTTCAGGGAGTGGACTCCGGCACCGGACAGAATCCTGCAGGAGGGGGATATTGGTGGACTGGACACGGACTGGACTGAGGAGGAGGTGAAGGAGGCCTTTGCATCAATGGCCAAGAACAAATCGCCGGGAAATGACGGCATGCCAAAGGAGTTTTTTGAGGCCAACTGGGGCCTGTTAGGCGGGAGTTCCATGGGACTTAATTGCCACGGCGGAGCTCTCGAAGGAGGTCAAGGAGGCGGTGACCATTCTCCTGCACAAGAAAGGGGAGAAGGATCAGTTAAACAAATTCAGTCCAACTACTTTACTGACTTTCACCTACAAAATCATGGCCAAGGTGATTGCAGACAGAATCAAGAAGGTACTACACCGGGTGATTTCGCCGGAGCAGTATGGATTCATCCCGGGCAGGAGGCTTGCCGATGGTGTAGCGTTGGTGGCTGACATCATTGACGCGGCAAAAAATGGCGGTGAAGATTGGTACTTGCTACTCGTGGACTTCTAGAAAGCCTTCGACTCAGTGTCGAGAAGTTTCATTTTCCACGTGCTTGACCGCATGGGCTTCCCTCCTCGACTTGTATCCTGGATCAAAGGTCTCTATTCAGGAACAATGACAAAAATTCTCATCAACGGCTGGTTGGGAGCTGGAATAGAGGTGGTGTCAGGGGTGCGGCAAGGTTGTCCCCTAGCCCCTTACCTGTTCCTTTGCGCGGTAGAACCGCTGGTGCAGAAGGTGGAGCAGGAGCAGCTGGGGCTGGACATCGCTGGTCAACGCCTGGCATACATGGGCTACGCAGATGACACGACTCTGGCCCTGCAAGGAAAGGAGCAGATCGCAGGGGTGGAGATTATATTGGATACGTTCGAACAACAGTCCAGATTGGCGGTGAACAAAGCAAAGATGGTTATCTTACCGTTGGGAGCTAATCTTGGGCGAGATGATGGTGGCGCTTTCAAGTGGGCGAAGCCCAAAGATGCGGAGCGACTGCTGGGGGTCTGTGTCACGCCAGATGGGAGTGGCCTGCCAACCTGGGAAAAGGCACTAGAGGAGATCAAAAAAAGACTGGAGTTGTGGAGGTAGAAATTTCTCACGAAGAAAGCGAGGGGCTCAGTGGCAAATAGCTACATCCAACTGGTGATGGCTTTTTAGGTGCAAGTGTACCCGTCGCCTGCAACAGTATGGAGGGACTTGGAGAAGCTGATACATAACTTTGTCTCGAGGAACAAGGCAACACCGGACAGGGTGTTTTTACTCTGGAGTACGGAGCTGCTTTACACTCCGAGACAGGATGGCGGGCTGGGAGTTCATGACCCGAATATTACGCTCACATGCCTGGCTGCCAGGCGGGTAGGTCTGTTGATGACGGAGACAAATCAACTCAAGCGAGAGTTGATGATGCGAGTGGCGGACCTTCCTCTGAAGCTGGACACATTTACGGCGCATGACATGCTTCTGCGACACTGGGAAGGAAGGAGTCAGCGGTGGAAGCAGACTTGCGAGCTTTTCATGAACACGCCCCTCAGCATCAGAACGGTGGAGGTGACAAGGGAGGAGGTTGCGAGGGAGAGGCTCGTCTTTAATCGAGCAATCATGGTGGGCGTAATTGCGCCGGTGGGTGGACAGAAACACGCAGAGCAACTATGGGACTGGGTGCTGGGCAACCTGGTGTCGCAGCAGCATGACGGCACTTGCGCGCTGAAAACCATGGCGGAGCTCACGGTGGAGCTTGGTGGGAAGGGCCCAGCCAGGCTAGCATTGAGAGCTTTCGCAGCTACACCAACAGAATGGAAGAAGGAGCTGCTGACCCCCTGCACGAACTCGGCTAGCTGGGACGACATGACGGGCGGAACACCACTTCCGCGCATCCCAATTCTGGAAGGAGGGGGGGTGATTCCACTGAAGCAGATGCGGTGGCATTGGAAGGGGAAACGCGCGCAGTCTCATCGAATGCTGAGATGGGCGGGCCAGTGGAGCGAGTCGATTAACTGGAAGAAAAATTTGGGCATTCGGGAGTCATTGGTCACCCCCAGCAGACCAAGGGATGTTCTCACGCGGGTGTACAACTTCAACCTCCAGGTGGGGGAGAGGCTGGCTTTTCTATTTGACAAACCCTTTTGCCCGCACTGCCAAGGCGAGGAGACACTGCCCGAAGATCCAGAGCGTGATAAATGCGCTGAAGCGAGCCCTCCGCATGCTGAACCCGTCTCGTGCCACGAGTTCGCTGGAGGACCTCCTTTTCCGCAAGGCGGGGACCCGCACAGCCTTCCCCGAAGCAACACTCATAGCGATAACATTGCACCAGGTCTGGTTGGAGCGGTGCGACGCTGTTTTTTCGTGAACGCAAGTTCCGGGCGCTCCGAGTTCTGAGGAAGATCCCGATGGCCTTTCGTCAACATGCAAGGGTGTACGTGAAAGCATGCTCGACAGCGTGGCAAAAGCGGAAGAAATCGGCGCAGGCTGACAGCTTTCTAATGGGCCTATTGGAGGAGTGGCGGATGCTGAGCAGGATTCGGCTGGCGGATGATAAGAAGTGGATGTGGACAAAAGGATTTTAATCCATCTGGACCAATCCTAGGACAGTTTACAACCCTCCGTAGAATCCTCGTTGGAGCAGACAGCCTCTGCTCACTCACGCACGGTTACGACCGCTATTGTTAGTATGAGTTGAAGTTTTGTGATGCATACTTTCAATAATACAAAAAAAAACCAACAAAACCTGCATCAGATTTTCACATATCGAGTACACCAATTCAGCAGCACCAGCAGCAGCGGCGCATTGATCGTGGCATTATCTAAATTCAGGGCTGTTTTTTCTTGCCGAGGCGTCAGACAGTCGACATTTCGTCATTCCGCTTTCCGCCGTTTCGCGAATTCGCCGTTTCGCCAAATCGCCGTTTCGCCAAATCACCGTTTCTCACCTCGTTGCGGCGTTCCATGCGCTCGTCCCCACCACGATTCCTCCAAAAGGCCACCTCATCTCCCAGTCACTCACCTATTACTCCTTTTCTCCTCAATCTTCTCGTGTTCCTCGTTTTCTGAGACGCCTCCCAAAAAACGCATTCCCTCGTCGCGCTACGCACTCTAACGCGCCGCCATGTGCGGCATCGCTCTCGTCGCCCAGCGACTGCGAACTGTTAGCTGCCGCACGGCAGGGCGTCTCACAGCGAGCGGCTGCGACGAGCCGTGCGACTGCGAGCGATCCAGAGTAAGGGGATGGATTTGAGGGAGTCGGAATGCGCGACTGGGATGATCGGGCGACTAGAAAGGCGACGGTGGAATAGGGTGAGGGCGGAGGAAGGGGTTTCAAGAGAGGGGTTTCGGGGCATTCAAGTTTTTGGATTCGGAAAGGGTTCAGGGTTGAAGGTTTCGGGCGGGAGGCGGAAGGGGGGTTTGTGAGGGGGGCTACAGAGGGGAAAGTGTCACTTTTGTTTGGCACTCGTTCATGCTGTATGGATAACGAGGCATACATACAGGGGGAGAATGTCCCTTGTGTATGGAAGGAAAGTGTCCCTTTTGTGTATGGATATAAGTTAAGGGACGTCATGTCCCTTTCTGAAGCTGACGCCTCTGCTCGATTGATGGAGTTGAGGCTTCCCCTCTCCTCTCCTCTAATCAGTTTAAGAACGATTGTTTGTCCTCCCCTCTCTGCATGCTTGTCATGTCACTGTAACAGGCTTGCTGCTGCCAATCAGGGGACGCCACGTGTAACAGCAATGAAGCCTCTGCAGCACCACAACCCCCTGAGTGTGGTTATAACGAGGTGCCTCAGAGTACCCCTGTGTGCGCTTGTATCGGGTCACCTTCTATCGAGTCTCTCGCCGATTCTCTCAGCCGCAGGGGCCCTGATCGATCCTCCGCCCTCTCCCTTCAGCTGCCGTTTCCCACCACCATCAATGCCTCTCCACCGCTTCCCACCGCACTCTGTCCCCTCACACGCCTGTCCTTGCTAGCTTCAGTGCTGCAAGTTCGGGGGGAGGGGGAGGGCGCGGGGGGGGGAGGGGATGCGAAAAGGGGGGAGAGTGTGGGAGGAGGAGAGGAGGGAGGTGAGGGGATGATGAATCACAGGGTACAGGGTCCTGCAGAGAGGAGGGAGGGTGGTGAAGGGGGGCACGTTGAGTGTGACGGTGAGGTCCACAAAAGTGAGGGAGGAGTAAATGAGCAGGGAGGAGAGAATGAGGGAGGACAAAGCGGGTTCCAGCAAAGACAGTGTGGGGCGCCCCAAAGAAAGGGACGGAGTGGGTACCAGGCAGCTGACCAAGGAGTGGGCGGGGAGGCGAGAGGAGGAGAGGGAGGAGAGGTGTCACAGCCTCTGATGGATCAGCACGGCAATGTCCTCCTATTTAACGGTATAAATAACCCTTCTTTTTTCACACTGTGCCAGCTGGAATGATTATATCGCTTTTCAAAAAAAAAAAAAAAAAAAAAAACTCACGTAGCAGCGGGCAGGGCATGTCCTGGATATTTATTCCTCCTTCAGCCGCTTCTTTTTTTCCCTGTCTGATTCTCTGCTCACTGGACCTTTCTGTTGCACATTGGATAGGTGAGATATTCGGCGGGCTGCCCGGCCTTCAAGCAGAGCAGAACGATGCACAGTGCCTCCTCTCCTCCCTCTCCTCCTGCTGCTCCTGCTCCTCCTGCTCCTCCTGCTGCTCCTGCTCCTCCTGCTCCTCCTGCTGCTCCTGCCTCTGCCCCACCCCGCGCGCCCTCAACACAACTACCGGTGCAGCAAGCATGAAGAATGGTCATAATAACAACGTTACCACCACCACCACCAGTGAAGATGCCCATTTAAGCAGCAACCTCTGCAGCAGCAGCAGCAGCAACATCCCATCAAGTCCTGTCTCTTTCTCTCAACCTTCCTCCTCCTCTCCTCCCTCTGCCCATCCTGACCCCCCGCCCTCCCCACTCTCCGCCCATCCTGACCCCCCGCCCTCCCCACTCTCCGCCCGTCCCGCTCTCCCCTGCGCCCACCCCCACTCCGTCCCCCGCCTGCTCTCCTCTCTCCGCGGCCCCTTCGCGCTGGCCTATTGGCAGGCGACAGCTGGCACGCTCTGGTTGGCCCGCGACTTCATGGGGCGGCGCAGCCTGCTGCTCCACGGGCCGTGCGTTGAAGAGAGTGGGGAGGGGAGAGGGGAGGCCGAAAGAGGAGTGGGAAGCACTTTTGTGGTGAGCAGCGTGTGCCCCTCGCCTCGTCCTCCCCGCCTCTCCATTCCTGAGAGACGAAAGAGTGAAGCGCTGACAGGGGAGGGGGCATTGGAAAGAGCAGAGAGGACAGGAGGGGGACGAGTAGAGAGAGGAGGGGAAAGTGCGAGAAAAGGGGCAGGGGATCGAGGAGCGGTGAGAGGTGAGCGAGGGATTCGAGCAGAGGCAGGAGAAGGAGGGGAGGTAGGAGGAGGAAGAAGTGGTGGTGGGGAAGCGGTTGATCAGAGTGGTTTGCCCGAGTTTGGGTACTGGAAGGAGGTGCCATGCGGAATATACAGCTCTGTGCTTCCTTCACATGGCGCTGTGCCATCATGTAGCGAGGGAGTGAGTGAGGGGTTGAGAGAGGGCGAGGGAGTGAGTGAGGGGTTGAGAGAGGGTGAGGGAGTGAGGGTGACGGTGGACGAGTGGGAGTGGTTCCGGCATGAGTGGGAGGATAGGACCGTCCAGCGACTGCTGACATGGCAGCGACCAATGGCAGCTGACGTGGCAACCCAAGGTGCTGAGCTGGCAGGAGGGGGCTCCGAGGTGGAGCACTCCAGTACTGAGCTGGCAGCAGGTGATGCTGCTGACTCAGCAGCAGCAGATAACGTGCTGTCAGCACTGGATAGAGCAGTAGGGATTCGAGTGACGCATATTCGAGAGGGGAAGCACATTGGAAAAGGTATTCCCATTGGCCCACTGGACGGGCAAGGAGCAGCGGCAGCACCAGTGGGGGCTTGTGTGAGCAGGGAAGAAGAGGCAGCAGCACTGGCAGATCCAGAGGCAGCAGCCGAGGCAGCACTGGTGGCAGCACGGGCAGGAGATGTGTGCAGAGAGGCAGAGGCAGCAGCCCTGGCAGATCCAGAGGCAACGTCAGAGGCAGCACCGTTAGCAGATGCGTGCAGGGAGGCAGAGGTGGCACCGGTGGCGGTGCTGTTCTCAGGGGGACTCGACCCCATAACACCAGAAGCAGCACCAGTGGCAGCAGCAGAAGCAGAAGCAGCAGCAGCAGGAGATGTGTGCAGAGAAAGGGAGGAGGCAGAGGAGGCAGAGGAGGCAGAGGAGGCAGAGGAGGCAGAGGAGGCAGAGGTGGCAGAGGTGGCAGAGGTGGCAGAGGTGGCAGAGGTGGCAGAGGTGGCAGAGGTGGCAGAGGAGGCAGAGGAGGCAGAGGTGGCAGAGGTGGCACCGGTGGCGGTGTTGTTCTCAGGGGGGCTGGACTCCATGCTGCTGGCGGCCCTGGCCCACCGCCATGTGCCCATCCACCGTGAGTGCTTGCATGGGTGTGTGCGTGAGTGCGTGCGCGCATGTGCATGGGTGTGTGCATG